ATATTTGCATGAATTCTGTCTCTAAACTTTCAGTATCATATTTTTTTGTAAGAGGCTAATCTGCTGTGTAACACGCTAACATACATTTAGGCAGGAGTCAAGTTATAAATAAATTATTGAAACTTGCCTTTGGGTTAACAAAGGCTGGAAATGTTGGCCTGTGTTGTTGGATGTGTTTATATGTTGTGTTGTAAGTTTTTATTTATTTATTGTTTTATAATTGCTCAAATTTTGTTGAAAACAATATACGTTTTATTTAAAGTCAGCAAGTAAAAAATATGACCACTAGCCATGGCCTTGTTCAAACTGCTCCCGACTCAATTAGTCTGCATGAATCAAACCAATCAAACCAAATCAAAGTGAGTTGGGTCTCTGTACCCCTCACAGACCCCTACAGATCACTGAGCACCAAAAGTTTCTTCCTCAGGATGTCATGAACAGTTAAATGCCCCTACTAGGCCAATAAACATATGCAATGCTCAACACTCTTTTCTACTTAATTTTATTCAGCACCATGCTTCTTATTCACATTCCTTTGCATTGTATATAGGCTAAATGTACATAGTTTATTTTGTATTTGATTATATTTATTTGTATTATCTGTCATTCTGTATGTGCACTGGAAGCTTCTGTGAAAGCATACTTGGCAACAGTGTTGTAGTACTCGAGACTCAGACTCGTCTCGGACTCGGTCTCGAGACCATATTTTAATGGTCTCTTGGTCTTGTCATGGACTCGTGTCCATTTGGACTCGGAATTGACTCGTACTCGAACATTTTTTTTTAGGACTCGGACTTATTCCCGAGTCCACTCGAGTTCAATTAAAAATATTTTTCATGATTATTAATGTATGTTAATAAAATATTTCTTTAAATTGATTGACACGCCCAGTAATTGGTGATTTTCTAGTGCGCAACTGCGCATGACAAATTGTAATAAAATTACTTTTAACACCACCTACTATGTGGCCTTTTCACCCTAAACTGATCATATTTTCTAAACTAAGTAAATTCAGTTTAAAAAAAAGGATTTCTCTAAGTAAATAAAAGTAAATTAGGTAATCAACCCTCACTGGTCTCGTTCTCGACTCGGACTCGACCATCTCTGGTCTCGGGCTCGACTTTGGCTCGACTCTCTATGGACTCGGTCTTGACTCGGACTCGACTCTCTCTGGTCTCGGTGTCGACTCGGACTCGAGTGAGGTGGTCTCGACTACAATTGTGACTGAATGTGTCAGTAGAGCTGCTGAACTAAACTGCTGGGCTCTAGTCTATGGCGCTCGGAATGTTCCATTCGGCGACGAGACTGACAAGCAAGACAGATAACACACGTGAATACGTGCGTGTACGTCTCCATATAAAACAAATGGAGACGTACACGCAAATATCACGTCACGTAGACACGTCAATAACGTGTAGCTGTTGATCTATGCAGACGTCACGGCGGAGTCACGTTAAAAGTTTAACGTGTGGATTACGTCTGCACGTCTGAACGTCTGCACGTCTGCCCGTCTGAACGTCTGCACGTCTGCCCGTCTGAACGTCTGCACGTCTGAACGTCTGAACGTCTGCCCGTCTGCACGTCTGCCACAATCTAAGTTTACAAACAAGACTTATTTTGGCACATTTTATGTAGGACTATGATACACTTATTTTTATAATGCTGAATGTCTGGTAATGTACCATTGGTATCCCAATGATAGATGTAACTTTTTAATAAAAGTCTATGGCATGTATTTTGATTATTCGATCTTCAGAGATAAAAAAATAAAATGGGCTAAAAAAATTCAGAAAAACTGAGTCTTATCATTATATATTAGTGTGTTTCAGATGTGTTAATGCTCTGCAGCAAGCCAGCAACAGTCTGCATGCCTCGAGTTCACTCATGCTGCATCCAGCATTAATTAACCATTCAGAAACCATTTTAGAGTATATTGGATTTTAAACTAAAATTAGTTAGCCTGTGATTGCTTGGATCAGGCTACTGCTATTCTTATTCTGAACAAGTAATTAATCATTCAAATTAAAAATGTTTTAACATAAATGTACTATTTAATAGAGCTACAACACTAAAGTTTTTATAAAGCCTATAAATGTCGTCTAGTCATACTGCACATTTTTTGCTACCGTTGAGAGCATACAAAAATCTCGCCCAAGTCAGGCAAAACAGTTGACCGCCCATATAAATACAGTAAGAGGAGCAAACGCTGCATAGTCTTCACCTGCAGGAAAAACAAACACTTTAAACAGAATAAGATGAGATGAACACTTTAATCAGTAGGCGGCAGCAGAGCAGCATTTATTTGACCATCTCCACTTTCTAAATAGGAAATTACTGACCCACAGAACAGTTTGGATTCACTCTTTCCATTTATGACAAACAAAACTATTTTATTTAAAGTGTGAATAGATTATAAAGAAAGAGAACAAAGTATGCTCTTTTTATTTAGCGACTGATGGAACTCCTGCGAAAACTCCTCTGATAATAAATAAATTGTCTATAGCCGACAATCAAACATTTAGGCTGTGTAAACCTCACACTGCTGGTAGCTATCCTGAAAATTAACATTAACTGTAAACTTATTCCTCAAATCTAGTTGTAGTAATATTGTTTAATGATCAAAAAGGATGTTGATTCAGGAACATTGTACTTCATGAAATCATGTTCATCCATTCACTAAATCCCTTTGCACATACTGCCTTCAATGTCATTTTACAGTTTTTCTCAGTCACTTTGGTAGTTTCTTGAATCATCCTTAAGTTTTGCAAACCAGTAAATGCATTTCTTAAAATAATTAATAGCAGTCCATGGATTGCCTGCAAAAGCCTGTACCTCCTCAAATCCTTAGTTCATCTCTCAAAAGTGGTATTTATGTCAATGAACATATCAGTACCATTGAATAGTCCTTGTGTATTTGCTCACAAACAAGATATTCAAAATGCTTATTGATGTTGTCGATATGAAATTGTACTTGTTCAGTATTTCCCAGATATCCAGATGAAGCTTCATGAGATGCACCTCTGAGCTACTTCAGAGAACTGGTTGATCATTGGTTGATTTAATGCTTTACCTTTCATTGGTGAAATGCAAAATTTATAGCCAAGAAATGCTTGCTGTCATTAAAACATTAAAATGTAGCATGTCATTGGAACCAACAACGGCATATATATTTAGGCTAGCTATATTTCAATTTACGTATAACGCAGTCACTTTAAATTCACATGTTTAACTGGGTAACATAATTAGGAAAATATCAACCCGCAATATATGAAAATTAACTGCCAATTGAGACCAAAAGTTGAGAAAAAAATACCAAGTAAAAAACACATTTGTAAATATTTATTTTAATATTTCTGTAATGAGCAGTCTTTAGCTTTTGAAAAAATCATTAGAAAACCAGAATGCCTGTAAATAAACTATATGGTAATGACATTTCACACAATAAAAAAAAAAAAAAAAAAATTGTTCCAAACATCACCACAGCAGAACAATTGCAATTGTCTTCAAGTAGTAGTTGTGTGGATATTAAATATATAGCCTCTTTGTTTTTTGTTTTTTTGAAAGAATAGTTTGAACAATAACCAGTAATGTCAATAGAACAGTGCCTTGCCGCCATCTACTGGCGGTTTTATATTTATTTTTAGTGGTTTCATATTTGTTTGGCCGAGCTCCTTTATTTCGGGATTTAGGCTACAACTCGTTATAACGATTTTTTTATAACATAGAATTTCAGAATATAATTCCACCCACTGCCACTCTACTATATCTATATTTTTTGTATTATTATTAGCCATAGCCTATTCCCATGCATGCTCGTGCATAATTGATACAAAAACGAAATTCAAAGAAAGTCTTTCTACAAAACAAAACTTAATGAAGTGGTCAAAATCATGTCTGACCCACTTGTCTCCCGTCATATCGCATCCTATATGTTGCTCTATACTCATGCTGTTCACTGTTCATAATCAACATAAATGAAAATTAAATAACAAAAGCCTATTGTAATATTTAGACAAATGTGAAACTTGCAAAGAGTGGATATTGAGCGGACAGTCACGTGAAAAGTAACTTGAAACTTGTTTTTAAATGGGAAGAGCGTCTTGGTTCACCCTCGGCCTGTCAGAAAGATAGGCTATGCTAGGATATGCTTTATTACACAAAACGAAAGATTGAAACATTATTATATTTATAATGCTGTGGTCTAGTTTGTATGATGGACTATCTAGCTACTTCAGTAATAATAGGCCTACGTTGTTTTGGTGAGAAGTCTGTTTTTCAGATCATAATAAAAAAATACTTGGCCCCCTTATATGAAAACGAAATGAGCTAGGCTACAACATAGTCCTAACAACGATAGAAACCCACAACTTAAGACGGATCGCCATTCAGTCATTGGCTGAATAATAATAATTAAAAAAAAGCTGAATGGAGATAGCCTAGCTCCAGACGTTAAGACGTGCAGTCGTTAAGACGGGCAGACGTCCAGATAGGCAGTCGTTAAAACGTACAGACGTTCTCCACACGCACGTTAACACGTCTTTAAGCTTGGCTATGAAGCGAATGACACAAAGCGAGCGCCATATACGAGCACCGTTTGCACACCCTCACTTGCACACCGTCGCTTTGCTGCTTTTTGAACCACCACTGATTTGCCCCCTTCCGTTTGTCTCTCATTGAATATGAACTACAGACTTTTGCTTTCTGCATTTCCCGTCTGAAACTGTCTTTGTCGAAGTGGTACTGCCCCCAATTTATCATCACCCCACCAAGAATTCTTCAGAATCTTCAGATGGCCACTCCAAGCCTGTACATATTTATTATGTTATATAATACAGTATTACATTTGCAGCTGTTCTAGTGGTCGCATGCTGTTTTTTTTTTCATTTTGCTGCTTTTCTAAAGTGTTTTATTTTTGAGTAATATTCTTTACATTTCAGTAGTTTCTAGAGTTATTTAAATTATCTTACAGTTTTCTTTTTTTATCCTATTTGTTCCTACAGATGAAAACTGTAAGTGTGGCTCTAGTTTTATGTCTCAATGTTGGAGTGGACCCCCCTGATGTAGTCAAGACTTCACCCTGTGCCAGACTAGAGTGCTGGATAGGTGAGTTTGCCCATATATCCACCAAATAACCATACAATGGTTTCCCCATCGATTGTATCTCCGTTCCACCATTACCTCTTTTCTGACGCCCCTGTGTGTAATAAAGAAGGACATTACTTTGTACATATTTGTCTGAAAAAAATTGGAAATAAGCAATATGTTGAATGCATGTCAATTAATAAATGTTCAATGCAGTGTGCAGTTCACTGCAAAAAAATCGACTTACAAAAATAAGAAAAAAAAACGTAACTTAACCCCCCCCCTAAAAACAAGCAAAATTATCTGCCAATGGGGTGAGAATTTTACTTGATAAGACTTCTTAAAACAAGACAAATAAACTTGTGATAAAGTTCTTCATCTTAAAACAAGAAAAAAATGAAGTAAATTTAGATATTTAAATTGATTCAAGCGGTACAAATATCTTCAAACCAATGCAAAAATAGTAAAATCTAGCATTTTTTTCTTGTTTTATTTGTGGTTAGTTTTGAATACTCTTGGTAAAAATATCTTGATATAAGAATATATATATTTATATGTATAAGAATATATATATATATATATATATATTATATATATATACACACATTTTAAGGGTTTCAGGCTTATTTTGAGAGAAGTTTGGTTTAAATGATCTTGATGTAAGAATATATACACATTTTAAGGGTTTCAGGCTTATTTTAAGGCAAATGTTTGGTTTAAAATATCTTGATATAAGAATATATATACACATTTTAAGGGTTTCAGGCTTATTTTGAGAGAAAAGTTTGGTTTAAATGATCTTGATGTAAGAATATATATACAAATTTTAAGGGTTTCAGGCTTATTTTAAGGGAAATGTTTGGTTTAAAATATCTTGATATAAGAATATATATACACATTTTAAGGGTTTCGGGCTTATTTTTAGGGAACGGTTTGGTTTAAAATATCTTGATTTAAGAATATATTTATACACTATAAGAGTGTCAGGCTTATTTTGAGGGAAAGGTTTGGTTTAAAATAAGTATTTAAAGTATTAAAATAAGTAACTAATAACTAACATGGATGTCTCAATCAAAACTATTTCTAAAAATAAGCTCTGAAACGGAGATACATTTAATAAAGCTGGTACAACAAACATGCTCTTAATATTGCTTTATTAACTGCAAAAGGAAAGCAAACGATTGTTACAAAAATTACAGCAATGCATCACATCACAGCAGTTGGTAAGCATATTAAAACAAAGCTGTAAAATCCAATTAGTAAACTTGAAAAAAGCATGCAAACCAATTGCCTTGAAAAAAACGACTAAAGTGAAATAGGAATGTGCATGTCTAGTAGTGTAAACTTACAAGAGAGCTCCAGTAACTTAAAACTAATTTCATTTATTTTAGATGTACTCATTTATGCTAGTTGAGTTTACTTTACTTCTAAAGCAATCCAGTTTACTTGTTAAAACCATGCAAACTGATTGGCTTAAAAATAGCAAGCAAGCTTTACTCCAATAAATTTAGTAGCATCAATCATCTATTATAAATCATTGTGAATAGTTTCACAATTTTACAAAGATAACATTTACAACTGGACAAATAAATTTGCCAATGATACAGTTCAAAGGTTAATTTATTAGGGCCCAAGCCCTGAAAGGGTGAAGGCCCTGTTGTTTTCCTTAGGATTATTTATTATTATTAGGGCCCAAGCCCTGAAAGGGCGCAGAGCCCTATTGTTTTCCTTGGGATTATTTATTTTTAGGGCCCAAGCCCTGAAAGGGCGAAGGCCCTATTGTTTTCTTTAGGATTATTATTAGGGCCCAAGCCCTGAAAGGGCGAAGGCCCTATTGTTTTCCTTGGGATTATTTATTCTTTTTTATTATTATTATTTTACTACCTTTTGGGCACTTTTGGAGCCCTTAACATGCTCAAAAACTTTTACCCCAGCCAACAAGAAGTCGGCTATTGAGGGTTGTTTGTAAAGCACATGCAATGGAATTTGATAAACTCCTCCTAGAGCTCTGATCCAAATTCGATGAAACTCGGTCAGCATGAAGTCGGTCAGCGTGAAGTCAAGACATTGAAGATGAAAGTTTGCGAGGGGATTTTTGATATCTCAAACGGTTTGGCCGTGGCGAGGAAACAAAATTATGGCAAGAAACGTGAAACAGGAAGTGTGTTATAACTTCAGCATACATTAACTGATCTTGATGAAACTTCAGCAGTGTGTTCGCTGTAAGAGGATGATCACATGGATGTGACTATTGACTGTGAGTCAAAGTTGTAGCGCCACCAACTGGCAGCAGGAAGTGTGTCACTTTCAAAATGCTTTGAAATCACCCTCTTATTTTTACCCGATTTGCTTCAAACTTCATCTGTATAATGTAAATACACGGCAGATAAAGACCTGTGAATGGATTCTTGATATCTTTGAAACTGTTGCCGTGGCAACGCATCAAACTTTACCATTCTTTTAGGATGCTTTTGAGACCCTTAGCATGCTTCAAATTGCATGAAACTCATCAGACACATCACATTTATTAGCCAGTAGACATGTGCAAAATTTCAGAAACGGGCGTGGTGAGGGCTCAGTAGTGCCACCTTTTGACAAAAGTGGGGTTGTTACTTTTATCTACAGTTATAAAATCGGTATGTATATTGTTCTCCTCGAGCCGGACAACTTTTTCATTTATACTCATTAGCTAGGACTAACAGAAAGTCAGATATTTTGGTTTGAATATGGCGAGCCTCTCTCTGAGCCTACGCCTCTGTATGGCAAGCCCCTTTTTCACATTTAAAAGCTTAAAAGCTTGACTATCCAGAATTAACATTGTAGATATCAACAACGTCTTTCTGAATAGTCGTAATTACATTTTGGATAGTTTGTATTATCATATAAGATATCTGTAATGTAATTGTGACTAGTCGAAACGACAGATAGAGTATGGCAAGCCGTTTTAACATTTAATCATTTTAATCTACTAGTCTATTTTTATGCTACCGTTGTAAAGAACGATACTTTTAAACATAACCCTAAATCATCATAAGGTGTCGCCAGGCGACCGTCTTAATGAACGAGTCATGGATGCATTCGTTCAAAATGCTGAATCATTCAGTAATGAGGAAACACATTGCTTTGAGATGCGCGACGGTTTGCTGTGATCTTTGTCTAACTATTTTCTCTGCTGAAACATAAAAAAGTCAATATTGCATCTAAAATGTAAGTGACGTAATGTAAGTTTTCATGTAAGTTTTCATGGATTCTCGACTGAATTGAGTATAAGGAAGAAGTGGATTAAAACTTTAAAATACAACAAGGTAGCATGTTTGTTTGCAGCTTGCACTTTAGTAAATCAGACTAATTTACCAGGGATGACATATAAATAAACTTAGTGTAGTCCATCAGTTCGCCAGCGAGATCGGTGATTCAACGAAAGTGGCAGTACACAAAGATCACAGAATCCGGAAGTACTACGTATCAGCGTGATAATCCCCTATTTCTCTTCAATGCTTCTTGAAGACTTGAAGATTGTGACAAAGTGTGGTGTGTAGAGATCCACAGCACCATAAAAGTTATTCTGCTGTCTGCAGATCTGTGGTGACTATCCTGTCAAACTCTGCAAACACCTACAACATGTTAACGGTAACATTTTGTGTGCCATTTCACCAGATTTGTAACGTTAACCTTAATAATTTATAAACCAATGCCAACAGAGGAGAATGCATCAGTGAAAGTGGTAAAATAGGAAAGCATAATTCTTACATTTGGGACAAAAAAATCGTTTTTAGGCATTTTAGTTAGGGTAGCTACCTGAAGAAAAAAAAAAAAAAAAACACAGAATAGACCTTATTCAGAGCAGCGCCATGACCGGTATGAAAGTGAGGCTGAGAGGGATAAACTTACCATGTTTCCAATGGCATCTTATCTACTGTAAAAAACTGAATAAAGCTCCTAGATAACTTGCAATTTTCCACAGCTTACATTGTCAGGAGTTTTTTGTCAATTGAAATTTCTTGGAAAGATATTTTTCCAGTGTTTCATGAGCAGAACAATCTGAAAACACATTAAATAACAGTACAGCCCATAGAATAGATGCATGTCTATCCCTCACAGCCTCGCTTTCATTCTCATTAAAAATCAAAGATGGTGCTGCCGTGAATAAGGCGTATATCACAATTAGTTAGTCCACATTAGTTGCAGACCAGTAAAATATATTGACATACATAAAAAAAAAAAAATCATTTACACAAAAGTCACAAGCTTGATTACTCACATTATTATTAACTTACTCCAAAAGCGTAGCGAGGCTCCAGATAAAAATGTAGTCACTCTGTCAACGTTAGTTTCCACATCTGCAAAATCGAGAATGCTCTCACGTCACGAGTGCCGCTTCTTCTTCTTTGTTTTTTTTCTGCACATTAGGCACGCTTTAATGCACTGCTGCCTCTCACTGGTTTAGGAACGTCATTACGTCCTTTATTGCTATTTGCTTGTAAAACCTAGTAAAAAGTATGTATTTTATATTACTGAGTAAAGTTAACACATACAAGGTTACACATACATCACTGAGAAAGTATATATATATATATATATATATATATATAATAAAGAGATAAATTATTTTAATTTAAACAACTACTATCATTAAGAACCTGATGAAAACAACTGCTGTCAACAATTAGTGATCAAAAGACCTTTGCTGACTTTTTTCAGTACTCCCCAATTAACTTAAAAATGAAAATTTCCTGATAATTTACTCACCCAAATGCCATCCAAGATGTTTGTCTTTTCAGTGGAAATTTTCAGTGGATGTTGATTAGTTTTGATTTGATTTGGACTTCAACATTTTGGTTGCCATTCATTTTTGTGTGTAGAAAAATCCTAAAAAGTTTTCCTCAAAAAAGTTAATTGCCTTTCCACTGAAGAAAGAAAGACATGAACATCTTGGATGGGTGAGTAAATTATCAGGAAATTTTCATTTTGGGGTGAATAATCTTTTAAAATGAAGTTACTGGGTTGATGTACAAGATATTGACAGTTGTCAGCACTGAATAAAATGTTATGGTTCAAACTAAATAATGTTTAATTCACTGAATTGGCTTTATCACTCTCTCTCTCCTCTGATGTAATAAACATTGTTTTTTGGCCCTTTGCTTTTATGAATTTAGCTATAAACCAATTTAATGAACCCTTTCCTCAGAGAGAACTCCTTCAACATCCTTTATTTTGTGTGTATTTGAGTAGTTATGATGTGTGTGCAGTGCAGTGTGCGGATTATGTTTCATAATCCATACAAAAGTGATTTTTTGTGTTTCATCTTCCAACTTAAGCACTTTCCCATTTTCTGTATTTCACTTGTGTTTCAGACAGGTTTTATTCTGGGATGACTTTGGTACTTCTATAAAACTCCTTGGATAAAATGTATATCATCTGGCATTCTTCTGCATAATAGTGTATTAGTTTATACAGTATTGCATATAAAATTGCCTGAATTTACAGTAATACTGTAATGTGTGTTTTCTCTTTTTTATCTTCTAGACCCTTTGTCTATGAGTCCACAGAAAGCCCTGGAGATGATAGGGGCCAACCTGCAGAAACAGTATGAGAACTGGCAGCCCAGGGTAAGAGCGGTCCACCTTGGTGTTACCTCATATAACACACAGGCCGTTTCTCAATATGCGTTATTATTGTCTGTACTTGTGTTCTTATGGACTTGTGACATGTCATCAGTCGCAGCAACCAAGATGTGTTCAAATTCAAAGTTCACATCTAGCAAAGTGACAAAACCCCCTTGATCCACCCCTTTTATCAAGGATGCATCGAGAGGTGACTTGTGCGGATTTAAGACAGCCAGGTATCCCATCACGACAGAACTGTTATTGTGTCACAAAATGTAGTTTTAAGAGTTTTTCAGGTTAGAATGTAGTTCAGGGTTCTCAAGTCTCACACATTGGCCGTGAGACACGCGCAATTCAACCAGTTCACAGGCTCACATGCCACACCGTGTATTTCTCACGCTGAAAAGGCAACATCAACCAAGTTCACTTGCAAGCTTTATATATAACGCTATATACAAGGCGTAGGCAAATAAAGTGAAGTTTCCTGCCACCAGCACTCTTGGACAGATGGCGTTTGTTAGGCAACATAGACGTGCGAACACACGGAAGTTGACGGAACATTCTCGCCCACCGTATGTTCGTTACTAGGTATCCAATAACATCGCGCGAACACATGTCGTGATGGAGAAGGGAAGAAAGCTCGTCTAAAAACATTTTTAGGCTAGAACATTTAACATATAACCCATCATATACATTATTATTGATGCAGTCAAAAACTCTACAACTACTTTGCAACCAGGCCAGAAGCTTTGGCTCAGTTTGGCTTGCTTACATAACCTGAAACTATAAGGGAAATGTTAGTGCGTATGGGAAGGAATGAAGATGTATTTCTTCATTTTATTTAAAATGATATATCATACTGTATTAATAGTCTTTCTAGTTACATTAAGGCTACATGTATTAAAGCAGAGTGCTCTGGGTAATATTTTATATCAAAACATACATTAATCATTGCCATTGTATTTGTATTAACCGCATGTGATCCTCCCCTCACCGCATGTGATCTCACTCCAAGCTTTTGATAAAACTTGAGAACCCTGATGTAGTTGTTTAAAACTTTAAATCTCAAATCTGTTTTTATTTATAAAGTTAGCGCCTATTTGAAAATCATGTACCCCGCCAGGAACAGCCTTATTTTGGCTAGTGGTTCTGATGTTTGCTGCTGTCTCTGATGTCTCTGTAGTGGTTAAACATGAGATATAATTCGTCTCGCGTGTATCTAATGGGCGATCTTTGATCTCATGAATCTTTAATTTGTTCCCTGGCAAATTGTTTTGGCTGAGGACAAATTGAAGTTTCATAACTTTATATATTTAGGCTATTTAACTTTACCTTTGTAGCCTACTAGTGTTGATATTGTATGTTTGACCGAATTAAGTGCTTTATTTCTTATTGTATATCTTCTTATAACTTTTACTTATACTTTTATAATGGCTATTATTGATCATTAAATTAAAACTGACATTTAACAAACAGGGACAGGGTTGTGTTTTGTCATATTTAATTTTATTACAGTGAAGATACCAATTGAACCACATATTAACGTTTAATATTTTTAAAATGTCATCTTTTTTGGAAGCTAAGCTAGCAGGCTCTTGTTCTGTGGAGAAATCCAAGTAGTAACTTTAGGGGTTACTGTCCTTTTTCCCAGACATGTCCGGCCGTCGATGTCCGGGATTCAGCTGTTGGTGAATCTGAATGTACTGTTTACATGAACGCTAAAAAAGGTTGATGTGCGTTTTAACATTGCTAAGAAAATTCCCGCTCCTCCGTGAGAGATACGAGACCGGTAGCTTACGCCTCACAGGTGTCGCTCAGCGGTAATTAGGCCACCGGCCTCGCGTCGTTCTCCACACGGCCCTCACTCGTCCTGCTCGCCACAGTAAACATGATGAATGGCGACTGTAGAATGCAAAAGCCTAATCCCGGACATTTCCGGCGATCTCGAAACACATTTTCGGGCAGACTCATCACTGAGACTCACTAGTAGCCTATTCTTGTTGTTTAACTACTGCGCTCTTACCGTTAGGCGTGGCCTCCTAGGGCAGCAAAGCAAGTGCATTCTGTGAGTTGTTGTCTTTCATCCACATAAGCCAAAAATACATTTTCTGGCTTTTCTCAGTCTAGAAACCTCCAAATTCAAAAATAATTTCCCATTTCTTCTACATAAATTACCCATTCTAGATACACATTCATCTTTCCAGAGGTGGAATGACCCTTTAAAGTTTTTTTCTAGGACCTACCATTTTCGAACAGTTACACTAAAAGTGACAGAAGTGCAAATGTTACAACTTACCCCATATGCTTGGTTAATTTTAACAGACAGAGCGGTTAATTGTAACATTTTTGTGTAAAACACAGAATTCAGTCTATTTTATTTGTTTAGTTTGTTGTTGTTTGTGCATCTGTATAGATAGTTATCCATACATCCATCCCTCATCCAATCATCCTTCTATTATGGATCAATATCACGGATAGAGACATAGAAAAGGGCTGCACAGTTTTGCAATATAATAATAAATAAAATCTTGTAATTGCAATTGAATTAGAATTGTGTGTGGCAGCTGCATGTAAAAGTATTTTCATAAATAATAATTACAGTAATAATAATGCAAATGAGCTTTAAATAAAAATTTAAAGGGTTTATGCATTAAAAACAGGCCATATATATTTTTTTAGAAATAAACAAGTCAAGTGATCAGTGCAGAGTAAGCTAAATTTTAAACATATTAAATTCCAACATTGTTTGTGAAAGTCCAACAAAGTTAAATGTATAAATTAATACTCAACTGAAAAGTGTGTGCCTCCCTGTTTTCATTTCATTATCATTGTACACTATTTTAAGCCTAGCTAACAGTTGCTAGGAATTGCTGACATGTTTCAAAACGGTGCTATGTTTGAGCCAACAAGACGTGATTAAGGCAATATAAAGTTAGATTTGGAAACGTATACAGCCAACTCAGAAACCGAAAAAAAAAAAAAAACTATGAGGAAAAAATGTACCTGCATGATGTCAAAACACTCTTTGTCCAGTATCTTGTAACATATTCCCGTAGGGAAATGTGTATTATTGTATAACCATTTCTATCGCTATAGAAGGTGGTAAGTAAAGATTGGGCTACAGAAGATAAGGGTTCGTCTCTAGGAGGCATTGAGAGAGTAAAAAGGACACAAAACAGATCAGTTAAGTTTGGTGTTGGTACCATATATTAAGTGAACACAAAGACAAAACAACAACTACAACGCAATACCCAAAATTTTCCAATCATGCAGAAAGGTTCAATAATTCATAGAAACCCAGGCAAAATATTACTCAGAACTGGAGAATATATTCATATTAAAAAACGGTCCACAACACACAAGAATGGTCCATAGGATGCAATAGTCCATGAGCCAGAATTCATCTAATGGCTCTAAGTGTGTAGTAGTGTGTGTGTGTACGAATAAGAGTAGAAGGGGTGAGCAGACTACAACAGCCTCCTACCAACCCCACAAGGCAATGATGTTACTGGGCCGGTTCTGTTCCAGGTAAATAATGTCTCGCCATCAACTGGCCCGCAACTGGTCACACCTGGCCAATTCCCGCAGATAAGTATAAGCATACGAGTGCAGCTGCAGATAAGCATACGAGTGCAGCTGCTCCGGTGGCTTCCCCTTCATACTACTGATTGGGGAACTCACCGCAGCTTCTAAACCCGCGCTTGAGTGTTAGGATTGGTTGAAGCGCTCACTGAACTATCATGTGACTCTTGCATGAAAAATCTAAATGAAGGGTGTGTTCAGGTGACCGGGCAAAATTAATTAAATTTTGGACAGAATTTTTCCCTGGGTTACACCCTCCCCCCTTTAAATCCATGCACGTCCCCGTTGCATGTCGGAACACTAGATGACATGAACCGGTGACCCCGTGTCAGACATAGATGAAATACTTAACTTCAGACAAACTATGGAGCAGAGACCGAGCTACAGAAATTAGAGGATTACCTAAGGTCGAATATTGTAATCGCTCAGGTGGTGCTCTGTGTCGTGTCAAACGTCTGAAAGTCAAGTCGTGGTCAACTATGTCATCGTCAACTGAAGGCTCAACAGAAACAGCAGGCAGTGGACTGGATTCTACAGGAGGGTCTTCATTTAACTGGATCTCGGTAAGTGTCTCTTCAGGTTCAGTTGGGTTCTCAGTTACTGTTCCTGCAACATCTTCCTCTTCCACAACTTCCTTTTCCTTACATGACTCGCTGCTGGATTTGGACACAGACGACACAACTGGGGCTGGAGGACAAATAGGGGGTGGTATAGAAGAACTACAGTCAGCAACATCACTGGGAAGAACAGCATTTGAAACCCTGCATTGTCTTTCTACAGTGAATCGAGAAACAGATGGTTTGAAGATAAGTGACCCCGCATCTTCAATGTAATCATCACTGACGGGTACGTCAATCAATTGTCCTGATTTTTGGGTTTGTTGGCGAGTTTGTGGCTTGGAACCATGATCACGCTCTGGCGACGGGGCATTCTCAACTGCTGGTAGAAAGCTACATGGAAGGAGGAGATCTCTATGTAATGTACGCAGTGGTCCATCTCTACCCTCTGTCTTTACAGTGTAAACTGGGAGCTCACCAGCCCTTCTGACAACAACATAGATGTCCCGCTCCCAACATAGATGTCCCGCTCACGTCCCCGGGCTTTGCCCGGAGACGTACATTTCTTACGAGCACTCTGTCTCCCACTTCCAATGCTGACGGAATAACTCTCTTGTCAAATCGTGTCTTGTTCCGCTCAGATGTTTTTAGAGCATTTTTGGAAGCAATCTGGAAACTTTCTTCCGAACGTAGCTTAAGCCCTTGCACATATTGAGAATGAGTTTTGTATTGTGGTTCACGCAAAGGTAGGCCAAAAGCTAGGTCGATAGGAAGACGTGGGGTTCTGCCAAACATTAGTTCATATGGGGTGAACCCGGTTACTTCGTTTCTTGTGCAATTATATGCATGAACTTATGGCTTCAC